AACCTATACAAATTTAATAATATTAGTATTATTATCGTTAAAAAAGTATTCATTACAATCTATTTATTTATTTTTCTATCTATTAAAATAAACATAAAATATATTTATTTTCTTTCCCACCCATCATCATAAAATCCATTATTGTCAACATACATAATTAATTCTTCATTTTGTTTAATTTTTATAGGAAATAGCCATTAGAGTTTTTCGCACAGCCCATGAACTTTCCATGAGAACGGTTGCAATTTTTAGTCATGAAGATAGATTATCAATGCATCGATATAAAGCCGATGAAGCATACCAGATCGGTGATCCGAATGTTTATTCAGCAATTGGTGCATATCTTGCTCAAGATGAAATAATTAAAATAGCTAAACTTCGTAATGTCTCAATGATTCATCCTGGTTATGGATTTTTAGCTGAAAATGCTAGTTTTGCTAAGAAAGTTGAAGAGGCTGGAATAGCTTTTGTTGGACCTACACCTGATGTTATTGAAAAAATGGGTGATAAAACAAAAGCAAGAGATTTAGGTTTGAATTTTTTTTCAGCACACACGTATTTATAATTGAATTTATATAAATTTTTAATTTATTAATTAATCATCATATATTGTATATAATTAATCGATTGGTATTATTATTTGAAATATGATTAGCTATACAGTGTGGTGTTCCAGTTGTCCCTGGTACTCCAGGACCGATTTCTACAATTGAAGAAGCAGAAAATTTTATAGCTGAATATGGATTTCCAATCATTGTTAAAGCAGCAATGGGTGGTGGAGGTCGTGGTATGAGAGTTGTAAATAGCAGTGAGACATTGATAGAATCGTTTGAAAGAGCTAAATCAGAAGCTTTGGCTGCTTTTGGTGATGGGACAGTGTTTTTGGAAAGATTCTTGGATAAACCAAGACACATTGAAGTTCAAATACTAGCTGATTCTGCTGGTAATGTTGTACATTTGTTTGAACGGGATTGTTCGGTCCAAAGACGTCATCAGAAAGTAGTCGAAGTTGCTCCTGCATTGAATTTAGATGTAAGTATTCTTTAATGATTGAGAATGAATGAATAAGTGAGGAGGTGAGG